TTTAACATTGATCCAGATTTGGACTATTTTAAGCATATCGTACCTTGTGGCATTGCAGATAAAGAAGTTACATCATTGAGAAGGGAGACAGACTTGGTGCTTCCTACAGAAGAAGTAATTCAGGACCAGTTGATTTCTTGTTTTGCTAGACAATTTGGTTATAGTAATCTTGTATGGAAGGATGCTGCTTCAATATTGTCAGACAACGGGGAAACCGAATGAGATAACAATTGTATGCCAAACGAATAAACGATGTAAGCCTTACGCTCTTTCATTCATTTTATTTGTCAAAACAATTGATGGAAATTGCTGAATTTGTATATCTTGTATGATAAGTAATGTAATGTGGAAAACTGGTGATTCCATATTGTTATCATGAAAGTTCAATCCAGTTTAGAAATCCTACCTATGTATATTGGATGAATCCAGACTAAAATTGGTTTTCCTAAATGGGACTGAAAACCTGCAAAAGTTGCCTAAAATGTAAAGAAAATACAACAAAAGCATTGTGGGCAGGTCATACAAGAAAAACACATTTCTAAAGGGTTCTTTGGAAATTAAGCTGGTATACTGCTCTCCTAACATTTTTCTGTAAAACATAGGACAGTAGCTTGCTTCTGTAAAATTGCTAACATGAATATGATATAAATTTGTTTTTTTTCCATTTTTATTATTTTTGTTTAAAGAAGGAAAACTGCTTCTGGGTTCAGTCTACACACAGTAACATCATTTGGTCTCTTAATCAAAGAGGTCAGGTGTGTGAGCACTGTGTTCTATCATAGTCCTGCTGACATAGACCACATGCTTTTCTCTGCAGAAAGATTCTTTGATCCACATGTACTTATGAATCAACCAAATGGAAAATCCTCTCCTCTCAACAAAATTTCACAAAATTTATTGCAAATACAACTTTCAGGAGTTCCTTGACCAGATCTTGTGGCACAAAAACTATAATTTCCTTCTTTAATCTCCTTGACCAATTGAATTCTATCAATAGAGATGAGTTCGTATTGTGAACTGTCGACGTCAACCATGACATCCATGGAAAAAAAAGACGATAATTATAAATATAAAAAAATTTGACACGTGCTCAATAATACCACACAACTCTTATAAATTGTGTGTAGATTAAAAAGCTTGCCGATCCCAAGTGGACTAATTAGAGCTCACTGTGGGATTGATCCGAATCACATAATGTAATAGAGAAAATCATGCTGTATTAGAAAATGATCAGCATGCGTGATGGCTTGATGGGGCTTGGCCAAGTTGATAATCATACTTGGTATTTAAATATCTTCTTGCTGCTCAGATCCATGTTCTCTTCTCAACCCATTTCTCAACCTGGAGAAAGCATGTGGGTTCATGGGAAATGAACAAAAACTCAAATATAATGCAAGTCTGAAAATGAGAGCCTTCTTTGAAACATGGAAGCCTGAAAATCGTTGTATGCGCCGGTTCGGTTGTATGTAATTTTTTCTTACATGTATGCAATGAGAAGAAAGTTATACATAACTGACACTCGTATGCTAAAGTTCCTCGTTAGAAACCTTGCTTTTCAAGATGGCACACATCAGAGCTAGTTCTTGATACAGGAGCTTGGCATATGTGACGGTTTCGTAGAAGATTAAAAGGGTATTTCACGTTTGGAAAGCAAGCTTACCCAGCCAAGTTTAGCTGTGTTTGTTTTGTACCACTTAATATAGAATAGTGATCGGTTATTAAACAAAGCAAAAGGATGGACAGAGAAATGAGGCGTCTGATTTGGTCTCATGTGACAAGTCACATGAGATTATTTTGTAAAATATTCAAGTTTGCAGAGAAAAGTCATAGAAGTATGACAATTAAACTCAGCATCACATGATCAGCTGCTTCCGAGTTGTAACCTGTTACACAACAAAACAAAGGAATGGGCACAAGGATTTTTCTGCTTGCTAATTATCTAACCAACCCATAACACCCACAATGTATGGCAAATTAAATTCACACTGAGCACATGGTGTTTTTTGCTTGATAAGCGAGGACCGAGAGATCCGAAACTTAGAACCTCTTTCAATATTGAGAAAAAAGATCATTGTACAATTGCACTGACTTCGGGTAAATACAATTGAACCAAAAACATCTGAGTAAGTCTATGTTTTTTTTTTGTTGGTAATTTGACTTATAATTTTTCATGTATTAGTGTATTCATCAATTGGACTTGAACAAAAAAATTTAAATTCTTGTTTTTATACACCAAAATAAGTACTTGACCAGCAAATAGGTTCCTAGGAGAGGGAGAGTGTACGCTAGTTATCTATATATTACATTACATTCACACTCGTTAACCAAATTACGCATAACAAAGCATGCACTGCCGCTTTTTGCCTTCTTTTATTAGAGATTAAAGAAGAAAATCTTCATATGTATAGGCACCATACCCTGTCCTTTCATCTTACCCACATTCGATTTTCTTTTCATCAGATCAAATCAAACCAAACCACGCCATGAAAACCAGTCAGAGAATCTTGCTTGCCTTCTTTGCCTTGATTCTCATGCACGCTGTGAGTGTGACATGTTCTTCACTGTCACTGCACCAAGAGACCCAAGTTCCAGGGAGATACAGAAATCAACCCAGAAGATTGCTAGCTTCAGTGGCCTCATTTTCTGCATATCGGAACAAGCCCAGCAAAGCAATGGAAGATCCCAAGAAATCTGTAGAGACAAGTTTAAGGAAGGCCCCGCCCAGCAAATCAAATCCTACCCAGAACCGGTAACCGAGACTGGGGATCCCAGGGAAGAAATAGAATACAAATCTCATTCTGTTTCCACATTTTTGCAGTTTCCTTATTTTCACTCTGTTATATAGGTAAGAAGATGAGATCTTCGTACATAATTTTTCTTTTGTTCTCCTTCTAGTTGTTCATTCGTTTATTATTGTTATTTTTTTGTTTGTTGCAATTGTTGGTTTAAGTATTAGATTTAGGAGATGAGAGAAAACTTTATGTACAGAACCCTGTAAGAAATTGTTAGAAAGAGTATTTATTTGTTCTAGAAGATAGCCACTTTACTTTTGGCAATTAATTTTGGCAGTTGGTGAAATGGAAGTTTATACATTTCAATTATTTTGCTACTGTTTATGTAACCCATGAATAAAATTGATCTTCCTTCAATTTAACTTCTTGCTGACTGCAAGTTCTTGAAATGTGTCTATGACCCATTTTCTGTCTGATGTTTCTGAATATTTGAACATGCGGCCTTGTGATGAGCAATTTCGTGTACTTAAAGTTCCTAATGTTTCTAGCAATTCTAATCTTTAATGATGTTTCACACAACTCTTTAAAATGAAAAGACTAAAAATGAGAATTGAATCAAGGACTCATAATTGGTCAAAATCCTTGTACATGTTTTAAGTGGAGTGACTTTTTTCTGGTCTGCTATCTGCATCTCAGGACAGGAAGCCTTTGATATGCATTATGTAGAATTTAAACCACACTGTGGTAGATTTAAGAATCATTCAGTCCAGCTGATAAACTTTCCTTTGAAGCAGTTTTTTCCCGCTTCAGTGGTCATGAAAGTCGACTTCTGTTAATATCTCAATATTGATGATATCGCTTACTTCAGAGCTTTGAATTTTAAACCTTTTGCAGATGCTATAAATTGGAAACTGAATAAAATTGTGGATGTAAATCTTATTCATAATTAGTCTTCCAATCAAGTTTGTAGAGACATTAATTCATACACTCAATTTATATTGTCTCCCTAGAAATCCTGTATATCTCCTAGAAAGAAATTCTGTATGTCCACGTTTTATTGATTGGATCAGTTACTATCCCAAGGGCCTCCAGCTGAATTTTCATGTGGAACTGTTAAGTTTCTTGTTCCGATATCAGAGCTGTATTTTAAGGAAAGATAATGCACATGGAAAACTAATTTACACCAGTTACTATAGCTATCTTATGTTTGCCACATAGACGTGTTTTATTTTAAAACCAAGGCTGTTCCTTCTTTAATTTCAAATTACAGGTATGATTGTGGACCCTTTTTACCAGTGGTGGAGTCAGACTGAATAATTGACAGCAGTTAGCATAAGAACTCAATGATAGTACTGCAATACTTATTAATTTATGCAGGGTTGAAGGCCGGATCTGGAATTTTGAATTACTGTGCACTTGACCTACAAGCACGGTAAGTATTTAAACTAGATTGTGTGCAAGTTTGGTTCTTGAACCTGACTTTCTTCATTTGGCCAGAAAAATGTCTCAGTATGCCATTTTATCTACACATTGACATGGTAGTACTTTCAAAGATCTTTCCTGGCAGCCTGGTTCTGTAGTTCAACAATGATCATGGAGCCAGTTGTGTATGCTCTACAACTTCACCTATAAATAACAATGAACTTGGACTAAATTACCTGTTGATGTCAATTGTGTGGCTGAGGTGCTGTACTTTTGTTGTTTTGGTACTAAAGAATGCTCTTTTCTAAAGCATTGAAAAATTTTCGGAATTAGTTTTCCTGTTAGTTAATTAATAGCTCTAATTTTCAAAGGAAAAATTAATGTCTTATTGTGGTCAAAGGTGGGCACTTGGTTTTATCTTGAATGTTTTTTTATGTGAACAAAATACTTCCTTCTTACTGTGAACAGGAAAATGTGATTATCTTATTTTACCTTATATTGTTTTATGTTCTTACCTTTCTCGTTAATGCTTGTTTATTCATTTGTAGTACACTTCCTTTATTGCTGAATTATTGCTCCCACTATTTTAAAACGGCTGTACTTGTCATGCTTGCAACCATGTAGTAAATTTGAAAAATTCTCCTGTGTGAAGTTTGGTTTCCAGGTCCCAAACTTTCAACAGTGAAACAGGTTGCTCTGAGTATTGCAATTTGACCATCCACTCTGAAGTTGTGCAAAATGTTGTCCAATCTGATCACCTCTTGTGCATGGTCTCCAAATGAAGCATTCACCCTAACTGGAAATGGATATAATTATTCTACACGTGTAGTACATGCATTTCAGTAATGTACACGTAATTAATGAACAAGAAAATGCTGGCGTTACGGTCAGGTTCACCATCTCTCCCTCAGAGGACTATATTGTCTTAAGAGTTTAGTTTCCTCGTAGCACTCGCCCTGTGGAATCCCTCTGCAAACTTTCCTAATTCTAAATTCTTGCATCTTCTTCTTTCCTCAGAGGACTTTCCGACATAAAGATGAGAATTCGAAATAGTCGGTCAAATTTCTCCCAGACAACTCCACCTGAGACCACACCTAGGGCTGCTCATCTTCATTCACATCAAGGTTCACAAGGTGACCGCTTTCCAGTTGAAGAAGAGAATAGACGCATGGGATGGTCCTGCTTTGCAATAAAACAACTTCCTGCTCAAGTTGCAAGGGAGGATCTATTGCATGATGAAATGGAAACAGAAAGCAGTACAGGAATTAGGCCTTTGAACTGTGTTGTTAAGGAGAAAGATGCGAAACATTGCATGCAAATCAATACAAATCCGGTAATTAGTCTTTTAGCCATTCCTTTGTTTTCACTTTAGGAATGTGCAATTTATTGAATTCATTCATCTCCATATCAATTTTGTTATTGTCTTTTTATTGTTTTAGTTAACGTATTCTTATTCAGGCTTCATAACACCTACAAAGCTTAGGTCAATTACGTTAGTTAATGTTTCAAAAGATATGATTTTAATTTTATTTTCCATGTAGGCCTCAGAAGGGCAGAGTGAAGGAGCAGCAGATAAAAGGAAAGAGTTTTCTTCATGCGCTGGCTTTCCAGGGTAACTTATTTCTTGTCCTTTCTCATCTTTTGCACCTGCTGAAATCTACAATCGCCAATTGGTTATTCTAATTTGGAAATATAGATACTCTTCTCATCTGCCATTTTATTTGTCATTAAGATCTATGATGAATCCATTAATATCTATAATTTTCTTTGATTGGTTCGTACATGCACATCCCTGTTTGCATTATATTCTGATAGAACACAAGTTCCTTATTTGTTTATTCGTAATTTAAATGCTAATAGATTGATGGTGAAAGTAAAATTGTGTCTATGCTTGTTAATTTGTACAAAGAAGCTCTGCTTAAATTTTTTCTGGATGAAATTTTTTTCAACATGAGGTCTACAAAATTCAAATAACTGTCTTTTCACTACAGGGGTAGAGAAAGCACAACTTCTGCTGCAGAAATTGTTCTTCCTTACACTTTTTCTCAACCAGGTAAACTACTTTTATAATTGGAAGGTATTTTTCCTCTGCAAAACTGCATATCAATGAATGTCTTGTTGGTGCCTAGTTTGGCTGTTTTTAGCTTTGGCTATTTGCCTTCTTGCTTTCAGGTTGGCTTTTGTGCCTTCTTGCCTTTTGGCTCTTGAATGAAGTTTAAACACCCAAAAAATAAATAAATAAATAAAAATGAATGCCTTGCTAATTTAAGAAACTTGATGGCCATAATGGTATCAATTCCTTCCTACGATTGGGTTGAAAAGAATAAAACTTTTGGTGCTAATATATGGCTCGTTATACTTTTCTTAGACAAGTATAATGAGCCATATATTAGCACAAGTTGTCTTTGATGATAATCTGTTGACACTGTTGGAAATCCAATACTAACTAGGGGAATACTGTAGAATATTTGAGTGCATATCTTATGAAGAGTCATTTGTTGATAATCTATCAGAAAGGTCTATGGTGTATCATACTAATGCATATATTAAGTGACTGTAGTGATAATTCAGATCTTGAATGGCATAAGTGCCTGAATTTTGGTCTTTTAACACAATATAGTGATGCAGGACGCGTAGGACCTAAATTTATTAGTTTCCTAATGTATTTGTTAGTTTCCTAGATTCTCTAGTTTTCCAAATTCTAGTAGGATTTCTACTTTTCCAGATTTCCAGATTTCTAGTTTTAAGTTTCCTATTTTATTTGGGTTAGAATTTCTGTTTAAGCAAGGGATTTTTATCTTGTTATGTCTAGGTTTTAGTTTTTAGTTTGCTATAATTACCCCCATGTAGTTCTTTAAAATTCAGATTTGAATGTTGAGTAAACCTTTTCCTAGAACTGTCTGATTTCGTCCCTTCGATCTATATTTCTTCTCCTCGATCTCCGATATTCTTCTTTGTTCTACTGTTTCTGTCCTTTATCTCGTCTTTTTGATCTCTATTTCTTCTCCTCGGTCTCTTATATTCTTCTCTGTTCTATTGTTTGAGTGCTTAATCTAATACCTACGGGCTGTACTACATCACATAGTGATATCTAAAGACATCTTGCTCATGTATAGGTGAATCTGAGGTTTTCTAAATTCTTACATCAGTCAACATGTGATGTATATAAGTTTTATTATTCCAGTAACATTTATGGCGTACATAAGTATCAATCGAACTACAATATGACCCGTCAATGGGGACATGTGCAAGGCACAAAGCTACTTGGACTGAAGCTGATTCCATGCATGTTGATACATTTCTGTTTCTCCTCGCTCCAAGATTTTCCTGTTTTATTGGCAACTACGTTGGAGAATGTGTTTTTCTAACTTTATTTCTCGAGTGGTGTTCTGAATCAGGAGAGAAACTGCCGTTTAAGAAAAGAAAACCTTATAACCACACACAGACTGTAGTAGAGATGGAAATAGAGGAAGTAGAAGATGTCATGCCTGAAGTAAAAGTGGAAGATGCAATAATGGAAGCAAAAGGAAAATGTGTGTCGGTAGAAGTTGAAGCAGAAGATCATTTAACAGAAGTTAAAGAAGAGGATGCACCAGTTGAAGTTGAAGCGAAAGAGGCAACAGTAGAAATGAAAGAGGAAGATAAATTAGTTAAAGTGGAAGTGGAAGATGCAGTATTAGAAGAGGAAGATGAAAGAGCGGAAGTGGAAGAGTGTGCTACAGAAGAAGTGGAAGAAGAAGTTGCAACAATGATGGTAAAAGTGAAAGATGCAACAGTGGAAGAGGAAGATGCAAAATTAGAAGTGGAAGAGGACAGTATGATGGTAGAAGTAAAGGTGGAGACAACAAAAATGAATGAGCTAGATTATTTCAATGAAGATGATCTTCAGAAGACACAGAGTATTAACTACACTGTTACTTATGGCTGTGGGACATATGTGCCTTATCTGAACTTTGATGAAAACCAGCAGGGGCACCAAAAACAAGAAATTGGTTTAGAAGAGACAGAATTTGAGCCAAATGAGAGGCCAAGAAGGGGAAGGAAAAGGAACCGATCTGGTCAGTCAGCTAGCAGCAATATGCCTCTTCAGTAAGTAACCTGCTTGAATACAAAATAATCCCATTTTTACTTTCTAGTATGAAAATAGTATGATTTTCACTGCTGTCTGTTCTTTTTTCCCCGATGTTTCGTAGAGCTGAAGTTCTTGAATTTTGCTTTTTCAGTTTTGCTGGAATTATGATTGCTAACACATCGACGAGGTATAAAATCACCTCATAAAGTTTTCTTATCCTTTAGATATTGATGAAATGAAGAATTTTTTCTTTTTTGCCCACAGAGAGAGAATGTGAAAGAGCACATATAATATCATTTATGGTGATTGTTTCATCTACTGCAACGCATTCACTTCAAGGACATTGTTGTATTTGCAGTTATACTGACACACAGTAAATTTAGGAGTACAAAGGCAATCGTGTATTTCTATTAGATGTTCAATTTCTCCATCTCTGTCCATTTATTCAAATTGTCTTCGTGACACTCTCACTCTGTGTGTGCATATACGGAAACATGAGCAATATGTGTACGCTTTCTAGGGGTTTGGCATAAAATTACCAAATCTGACTATGAACGCACAGGGGAAAGCAAAAGCTAAAGAGAGGAAGGCCAAAGAGGATGCAAGATTATTCAGTTCATGGGAATCACGGGTAACTTCCCCACCCCTCCTCTCTCTCTCTCTCTACACACACAACACACATGAGTATAAATATGGGTGCATGTATCAGATCATAAGCATGTATGTGTATGCTTTCCTAGGGATTTTGCATAAAATTAACAAATCTGACTATGAACACACAGGGGGAGGCAAGAGCTAAATAGAGGAAGGCCAAAGAGGACGCAAGATCATTCAGTTGAGGGGAATCAAGGGTATCTCTCTCTCTCTCTCTCTCTCTCTCTCTATATATATATATATATATATGTCGAGAGATATTTTAATGTTTGTGGCCACATGATTGTGCTTGGACATGTATGCATGTGATGAACATGTGTTTTGGATACATTTATGTGTGTATGTATGCTTGCATATATCCTCTTAATAATCAACTACAATTATTTCACCATGGAGGTGCAGAGCGAAAAGGAGAAGAGGTCGCCCCAAGGGGAGCACACCAAACAATAGGTATCCACTTCTCTCTCTCTCTCTCTCTCTCTAGAAATCTATAGCTAAAGCCTTCATAAAACAGGGATCTCAAAATGCCAAAGCCTAAGAGGGGAAGACCAAAGAGGGTGAAAGATCAACCTGGCAACGAGTTAATGTAAAAGCATAGTGGCTGCCTCAATGTGTTTTGTATCATTGTAAGAACTTTAGTGGAGTTTCCCTTTATGTACTAATAAGTAAGTATTGTCTGTCTTTTAGGATTTATGTTTTATGATCTACAGCAGAAAAGACTAAAGTGGAAGCTGAAAAACTTGTTTCTGTAATGCCTATTTACGGATAATGTTCGAAAAATCGCTAGGCGGTAGGCAGGTGGAAAGCAGTGGCCTAGCTCCTAGAGGAGTAATTAGGGCCTAGGCATTTAAAAAATATATATAATTATCTTGTATTATAAATTTCAAAATTAATTTTAAAAAATGTATATATGTGAGTCATATGATATATGCTTTGATATAAATCAGAGGTTTGAAATAAAAACACAATTAGGTTATGTTTTAGGTTATGCTTTGATATAACGAGTAGGGTGAAATTGCGGCAATGTCCTCCCACTTAGCGCCTAGGCGGCCGCCTAGGCCAGTTTTTCTTCCAAAATGATATTGTTGTCCTGGTTATGAGTTATAATGCTGCAAATCCGTGGGCTGGAGTAACATCCATAACTCATCAGTTTATAGACTTTGTCATGCACTAATTTTGTATAGGACAATGCAGGCTATTCAGATTATTGGAGCAGGAGACATCATCCCCATATTTTTGTAGGCTTTTACCTTTGACAGTGACACAGTGTCATCAGCTTTCATTGTATCCATCTGATTTAACGAAGGGGTCATTTCATCTTAACCTTTTGCATATAAGTATCAAAATATAATGCTACTAGGAAAACAAAATTAAAATATAAATAGACAAAAACGATGATATGAACATATACCAGAAATTTGTGCCGTATTGGATGGTTAAAAGACCACACAGACAAAGTCAATTAGAAATGAGCAATGCCGAGTCAAATGTGGAAGTCTAGCCTGTGGTACACGCACTTGCAAGGAAGCAAAGGCCATGGCCCCATGCTTCGTTACGAAATATAGCTAAGCTAGCTACTTTGGCATATCCACATTGGTGCAGCAAAATTGGCAATGGCTTTTACTATACGGCTGCTTTTGTTTTCCTCAATGTTTCTGCTACCAGTTTCTGTGTTTGCTCAAACTAATGGTAGCATCGCAGTTGGTGCTTCTCTTACTGCAACTGCAGAAGGAAACTCCTCCTCATCATGGCTTTCTCCATCTGGTGATTTTGCCTTTGGATTTTGGCCACTTGGAAACAATGATATCTTCTTGCTTTCAATATGGTATGCCAAAATACCCGACAGAACCTTAGTTTGGTATGCAAATCGGGATAATGAGGCTGCAGTTGCACCCAAGGGGTCAACTGTGAACTTGACTGCCAACAGCGGTCTAGTGCTTAAAAGTCCTCAGGGTGAAGAGCTATGGAAATCTGAAACCAGTGCTGGTGTTGCCGGTGGGGTCATGAATGATACAGGCAACTTTGTTCTTCAAGATAGAAATTCAGAAAGCTTATGGGAGACCTTCAACAATCACACTGATACTATTTTGCCTGGACAGACATTTGAAAGAGGTGGGAAGCTTTTGTCTCGACAATCGGAGACTAACTATTCGAAAGGAAGGTTCCAGCTGCTTCTGCAAGAAGATGGGAACCTTATAATCAGCACCATAAACTTGCCAACAAACTTTGCCAATGAACCTTACTATGCAACCGACACTACCTCAGGGACTGTGGCAGGTAGTGAAGGTAAAGAACTGGTTTTCAATGTCTCAGGCTACTTGTATGTTCTGAGTGAGAATGGTGGAAAGACCAATGTTGCAGTGGGAGAGGCAGTCTCAGCAAGGGACAACTATATTAGAGCAACTCTCAACTTTGATGGGATTTTTGCTCAATATTATCACCCAAAGAATTCCACTGGAAATGTAAGCTGGAATCTTCTGTGGTCAGAGCCAGATGATATTTGCCGAAGTCAACCTGAAACCTCAGGTGTTGGTATTTGTGGGTACAACAGTATCTGCACTCTCAAAGAAGATAAGAGGCCAACCTGTAAATGCCCAAAAGGGTTCTCTTTACTTGATCCAAATTATCCTTACGGGGGATGCAAACCGGATTTCATACAAGGCTGTGAAGAAGACGAGCTTAGTCGCACAAAAGATTTATATGATGTTGAGGTGCTAATAAATACTGATTGGCCAATCTCAGATTATATTGAGTTAAAGCCTTTTACCGCAGAGAAGTGCAAGGAATCTTGCTTTCGAGATTGTTTGTGTGCTGTTGCTATTTTCCGGCCTGAAACCTGTTGGAAAAAGAAGTTACCTCTCTCAAATGGGAGAGTGGATATGAATCTTAATTCACAAGCCTTCATCAAAGTCAGAAAGGATAATTCAACTCTACAATTTCCTCCAATGCCAAATCTAGATGATAAAAAGACGAAGAAGAAGAGCAGTAACACTTTGATACGCATGGAGTCTGTAATTCTGGCTGCCTCTATCTTTGTTAGTTTTATGTTTAGTGCTGCTGCTTGTCTGGGATTTTTCTTTGTTTTCCGGAAGAAACGTGTAAGGTCTGTCGAAAATATTTTGGACTCAAATTTGCTTTCTTTTAGTTACCAAGAGCTTCAAGAAGCTACAAATGGATTCACAGAAGAATTAGGAAGAGGTGCCTTTGGAGTTGTTTACAAAGGGACAATACAAATTGGTTCTGGTGTCCAAGTGGCAGTGAAGAAGCTAAACTGTGTGATACAAGATGGTGAGAAGGAATTCAAGACAGAACTGCGCGTAATTGGTAAGACACATCACAAGAATCTAGTTTGCCTGGTTGGGTATTGTGACGAAGGGCAACATCGATTGCTAGTATACGAGTTCTTAAGCAATGGCACGTTAGCAAGCTACCTTTTTGCTGATACAAAACCCAGTTGGACGCAGCGAATTGAAATTGCTTGTGGAGTTGCCAAAGGACTTCTGTACTTGCATGAAGAGTGCAGCACCCAAGTCATCCATTGTGATATAAAGCCTCAGAACATACTGCTTGACGATTATTACACTGCTCGGATCTCTGATTTTGGATTGGCAAAGCTTTTGATGATGAATCAGAGCCACACTCATACTGCCATTAGAGGAACAAAAGGGTATGTTGCCCCGGAGTGGTTCAGTAACATGCCAATCACTGCCAAAGTTGATGTGTATAGCTTTGGTGTTGTGCTGCTTGAGATCATTTGCTGTAGGAGAAGCATTGATGTGAACAATAGCCGTGAGGAGAGAGCAATTTTAACGGATTGGGTCTATGATTGCTACTGCGGAGGAATGTTAGATGCCGTTCTAGTTCTAGATAATGAAGTTCAGGCCTTAGATGATAGAATGAAGCCGGAAAAGCTTGTGATGATTGCTATTTGGTGTATTCAAGATGACCCGTCTCTTAGACCAACTATGAGGAAAGTTGTGCAGATGCTTGAAGGCGTGGTGGAAGTGCATGTTCCTCCATGTCCATCCCCACATACCACCGGAACAGGCTGAAACCAACTTTGTTTGTATTGCATTGCATTGCAGCCAAGGTTTTACTGCCAGGACTAGCTTATTTCCTGCTTGTCAATCTTGTTCTTGTTCTTTTTTTTTGGATTTGATTCTGTGATCACACTAGTTTGTAGTTCTGCATTGTGATCGCTTCTTAGATATATGCATCTCTTTTATTTGGCCATACTGGTGATAATAAGAAAGAATGCTCTATTTATGTAATGGAAATGATAATTTTTTAGTGTGTCATAGATTTCAACTTCAAATAATCAAATTAGAGTTACATAGCAACGCTCATATTTATTACTATTGAATTTTGACTGCTACAGTTAAATGGTTAACAAGCTCATATTTATTACATCTTTTGGCTCGTAAGGGTGGAAAATTCGTGTCAGCGGGTCGTGTTCTTTGTCGTGCCCAACTTGGATTACTTTATGGGCATGACCATAATAGCCTCGCATTCAGAGTCTCAGCCACTTGAAGACTTTGTAGTCTTCAGTCACCTTCAGTTAATGGGGTCTTTCTTCCATCTTTTTCCAATTCTCTCTTGCTCCTACCCTCACAACTCTAAGCTCAGATTTGACAGCACCCCTTTTATGACTCATTTCCAGCTGTATCCGTCTTTTTTTTTTCTATACAACTTTCCATATTTTAGCTAAAAGGGAGGAAAGAAGGAAAATTTACAACAAAGACAAGAAGTAGAGGTAAATGTTTTCTACCACCAGAACAGAGAAATATTCATAAAGGTACAACAACAAAGACAAGAAGCAAAATTTACAGAATGGTAATAGAAATTTTTTTATTTTTTTATTTTTTTGCGGATATGATATTTAAGAGAATATATAAAAACTAGATGATTTTGGATAATTAAAATACAATATGTGTTGTGTCCTATAAAGGTGTCCATCAAATAATTATTTGAGGAATCCTCAACTGAAGCTCTATGTGTGTATATATATATATATAGGAAAATGCTAGATTTACCACATTTTTCATACCACAATTGTACCACCTCTCTAATAGAGGTGGGCCCCATTGTATTGGTGGGCTCCACCTCTATTAGAGAGGTGGTACAATTGTGGTATGAAAAATGTGGTAAGCCTAGCATTACTCATATATATAACTAACGGAAAGGCCAACCTAACATCATACCAAGTGTACATATGAACATAATTAGTAGAATTATAAAACGGTTCATGAACACAAATTTTGAGAATAAAATAACAAGAGAATATTTTGTGATAAATTTTTGCGGTTGAATGACATATTTGCCTTTCAAACTAAGCTGTTAGAAGGAGAAAATGCGTCATTTGACAGTACTAAAAACAAAAAACTACGATGTAGACAGATACACTTGGAAATTTTTGTGCGTGACGGGCAGCAAGGGTCTTTAAGTTCGTGCCGTAGTGGATGGTTAATATAGACTAGTACACACAAATTAGAAATGAGCGCGTCTCATGCTTCATTAAGATGTGGCACACGCATTTACACCAAGAAATTTCAAGGAAGCAAGGGCCACGGTCCCATTCTTCATTATGAAATATAGCTAGCTAGGATATTGTAGTATGCCTAACCACATTGGTGCTAGAAAATTAGCAATGGCTTTTACTGTATGGCTGCTTCTGTTTTACTCTCTGTTTCTGCTACCAGTATCTGTGTTTGCTCAAACTAACGGTGGCAGAGCAGTGGGGGATTCCCTAACTGCAACAGCTAACTCCTCACCATGGCTTTCTCCATCTGGTGATTTTGCCTTTGGATTTTTTTCACTTGGAAGCAATGGTCTTTTCCTGCTCTCAATATGGTATGCCCAAATACCAGACAGAACCATAGTTTGGTATGCAGATCGGGATAATGAGGCTGCAGTTGCACCCAAGGGGTCAACTGTGAACTTGACTGCCAACAGCGGTCTAGTGCTTACAAGTCCTCAGGGTGAAGAGCTATGGAAATCTGGAACCGGTGCTGGTGTTGTTGCCAATGGGGTCCTGAATGATACAGGCAACTTTGTTCTTCAAGATAGCAATTCAGAAAGCTTATGGGAGACCTTCAACAATCCCACTGATACCCTGTTGCCTGGTCAGACATTGGAAAGAGGTGGGACGCTTTCGTCTCGACAATCGGAGACTAACTATTCGAAAGGACGGTTCCAGCTGCTTCTGCAAGGAGATGGGAACCTTGTAATCAGCACCATAAACTTGCCATCAAACTTTGCCAATCAACCTTACTATTCAACCGACACTACCTCAGGGACTGTGGCAGGTAGTGAAGGTAGAGAATTGGTTTTCAATGTCTCAGGCTACTTGTATGTTTTGAGAGAGAACGGTGGAAAGTACAATCTTCCAGTGGGAGAGGCAGTCTCAGCAAGGGACAACTATATTAGAGCAACTCTCAACTTTGATGGGATTTTTGCTCAATATTATCACCCCAGGAATTTCACTGGAAATGTGAGCTGGACTCTTCGGTGGTCAGAGCCAGATGATATTTGCCAAAGAATTACAGAAGATTCAGGTGTTGGTGTTTGTGGGTACAACAGTATCTGCACTCTCAAAGGAGATAAGAGGCCAACCTGTGGATGCCCAAAAGGGTTCTCTTTACTTGATCCAAATGATCCATATCGGGGATGCAAACCGGATTTCATACAAGGCTGTGAAGAAGATGAGCTTAGTCGCACAAAAGATTTATATGATGTTGAGGTGCTAACGAATACAGATTGGCCAATCTCAGATTATGTGCAGTTAAAACCTTTTACTGCAGAGAAGTGCAATGAATCTTGCTTTCAAGATTGTTTGTGTGCTGTTGCTATTTTCCGGTCTGAAACCTGCTGGAAAAAGAAGTTACCTCTCTCAAATGGGAGAGTGGATGTAAGTCTTAATTCACAAGCCTTCATCAAAGTCAGAAAGGACAATTCAACTCTACCAATACCAGCTCCTCAACTTCCATGTCCAGATGATAAGAAGAAGAAGAGCCAGACCACTGTGATACGTGCGGAATCAGTACTTTTGGGTACCTCTATTTTTGTTAATTTTATCTTAGGTGCTGCTCTTTGTCTGGGATTTGTCTTGATTTTCCGGAAGAAACATGTAAGGTCTGCCGAAATTGTTTTGGACTCGAATTTGCGTTCTTTTAGTTATGAAGAGCTTCAAGAAGCTACAAATGGTTTCAAGGAAGAATTAGGCAAAGGTGCTTTTGGAACTGTTTACAAAGGGATACTACAAATTGGTTCTGGTGTCCAAGTGGCAGTGAAGAAGCTAAACTATGTGATGCAAGAAATTGAGAAGGAATTCAAAACAGAACTGAATGTAATTGGTCAGACACATCACAAGAATCTGGTTCGCCTTTTCGGATATTGTGATGAGGGGCAACAGCGGTTGCTAGTGTATGAATTGTTGAGCAATGGCACATTAGCAAGCTACCTTTTTACTGATATCAAACCGAGTTGGAGACAACGAATTGAAATTGCTTATGGAGTTGCCAGAGGACTTCTGTACTTGCATGAAGAGTGCAGTACTCAAATTATCCATTGTGATATAAAGCCTCAGAACATACTGCTTGACGATTATTACACTGCTCGAATCTCTGACTTTGGATTGGCAAAGCTTTTGATGATGGATCAGAGCAAGACTCATACTGCCATTAGAGGAACAAAAGGGTATGTTGCACCTGAGTGGTTTAGGAACATGCCAATCACTACCAAAGTTGATGTGTACAGCTTTGGTGTTGTGCTGCTTGAGATCATTTGTTGTAGGAGAAGCGTTGATGCGGAAAATGACTGCGAAGAGAAAGCAATATTAACGGATTGGGTCTATGATTGCTTCCTTGAAGGAGCATTAGATGCTATTGTAGATTATGAAGTTCAGGCCCTGGGTGATAAAACGACACTGGAAAATTTTGTGATGGTTGCTATTTGGTGTATTCAAGAAGACCCTTCTCTTAGACCCAATATGAGGAAGGTTGTTCAGATGCTTGAAGGAGTGGTGGAAGTACAAGTTCCACCGTGCCCTTCCCCATTTTCCAGAGCGTGCTTGAAGGGGTCATTTGTATCGCAGGTTTAAATCATTTTCGGTACTAAGTTTCTTATTTTCTGTTTATCAATCGTTTTTAGTGGACTTATTTGTAGTTTTGCATCGCTTTAATTTGGCCATACTGATAAGAAAGAAGGCTGTGTATGTAAATTTTTGTGTAAGTTATGTTCTTGTTGGGAAGGACAAATTCTGTTAAGATAACGTAGTGCAACTATGTGTTTACTTAATCTAAGTATTGATGAAGTTTGTGGCCTATTTATTTTTACTGGTTTCTGAAAAACCAAGGCCATTATTGGTTGTGGATTGTGGTCCTTTCTATTGGTAAGTAGTTGTTCACACTAGCTTCTGTGCCACAAATTCCATTAACATCAAGTCAAGGACTCTTAAGGTATTAAATCAGCCTTCTGATATCGTTTCCGCTTGCAATTACTGTTTATAAGATTCTTCTTTTCAGTTTCCTAAATTAAATCTCAGTTTGGTATGAAGGTGATAACTTTGTCGTAAGTTTATGGAGTCTCTGTGTTGTGCACACTACTCCCACATATTTTTGGTTGAACCTGTGGCACTGCAAGTAGATGCATTCAAAAGTCTCTTAATGATGCAGACATGGGCCTAGCCAAGTTGGCTAAAGCGGATGTACTTCCCACTCTGTACCTGAGTTCAAATCCCCTTTCTTGTAGTTTAGATTAGACTAAAGTCAAATATCGCTTATATAAAAAAATTCTCTCTTAATGATATCTCTACCTGAAAAATCCTCTGTTAGTTGGGGATGTGTGAAAAAGAACAAGAAAGATACCTGCAGTTTACTTGGAAGAGGGATAACCTGCAGTTTAATCAGTTTAGTTTAAGATTAGTCCACATTACCTCCTCTATTTCTCCCTGATATTTTGGGTCAATAGGTCTCTTTCTTGACCCTTTCCCACTGCAAAATTCAACCAGTCAATTCATGCAGTCTTTTTCTTCGTAGTGGTCCCAATAAGAAAAATTCAAATTGAAATTGGACACCTGCAGTCTTATCAAATGAAATTGCAACTATATTTCTCTCATAATTTCATTTCATTGCTTTTTTTTTTCCTATGACAACAATGGTCATGTCTTTTTTGTCCTCACTGTTTTCTTTATGAAAACAATGACCATGCTTTCTTTATGTTGCATAAGCTTTTACTTAGTCTTCTTGGACCTTTACTTTTCTAAAATCTCCAATTGTAATAATTTTGTTTCTTCTATAAATTTGTATTTGTGAGTGGACAGATCCGAAGTACAAATGAAAGCAATGGCTTTTGTTCTCCCCCATCTGCTCTTCCTTCTCTTCCTTCTCTTCCTTCTCTTCCTGCTCCTGCCCTTCTCTGTCATTGCTCAAACTAACGGTAACATTAGTGTGGGTAGTTCTCTCACTGCAGGTGAAGAGTCTGCTTGGTGGCTTTCACCTTCCAATGATTTTGCATTGGGGGTCAAAAACTTGATAATGATCACTTCTTGCTTGCCATATGGTGTCACAAGATACCTCAGAAAACCATAGTTTGGTATGCAAATGAAGGCAACCCTGCTCCAAGAAAATCAAAAGTAGAGCTAACTGACCAAGGCCTTCTGCTGAGACCCCAACAAGGAGATCAATAACTGTTGACAGAATTTCCAGCTGCTGCAATAGCCTATGGTGTAATGAACGACACGGGAAACTTTATGATTGTTGATACAAGCTTTAGAGTCATTTGGGAGACCTTCAATCATCCAACTGATACCTTGTTACCTACTCAGACAATGGAGGTAGGTGGCTTGCTTTATTCTAGACAAACAGAAACTAACTTCTCAAGGGGAAGATACCAGTTTCAGATGCTTGGTAATGGTGATGCTGTGCTCAACCCCATAAATGTTCCGGGTAAATATACTTATGACACATATTATATCAGCGGCAGTCGTGACGAAGCAAATGATACAAATTCCGGTTACAAGGTCATCTTTGATCAGTCAGGCTACTTGTACATATTGCGAAGAAGTGGAGAGAGATTTTTTATTACAACACCGGGACAGGCACTCTCACCTACGAGGTATTATGTCAGAGCAACTCTCCATTTTGATGGGGTTTTCATCATAAGTTACCAACTAAAGAATTCTACAACCAGTGAAAGCTGGAGTGTCATCCACACTGAACCAGATAATATTTGTGTGAAAATAGCTGGAGAAATCGGAACAGGGCCATGCGGTTATAATAGTGTTTGTACACTTAAAGAAGATAGAAGGCCAAGTTGCAGATGCCCAGTGGGGTATTCTTTATTGAATCCAACTGATGAGTACAGTGGTTGCAAGGCAGCTTTCCTGCAGCAAGATTGTGAAGATGGTGGAGGGCAGGGTTCTGAAAGAGATTTGTACTACATGGATGAGCTTCCAAATACTGATTTTCCAAGATCAGATTATGAGTTGTTTACATCTTATAATGTTGAAGCCTGCAAAACATCTTGCTTGGAAGATTGTCTATGTGCTGCGGCTGTTTCTAGAGACAACAGATGTTGGAAGAAAAAACTACCACTTTCAAATGGAAGACAGGATAGTGGAGTTAATGGTAAGACTTTCCTTAAATTAAGGAGTAGTGGTTCCCTCCAAAGCCCAACTCCATTACCTCAAAAGGCAAAGAATCAGAACACTTTGATCATTGTGGGATCAGCACTCTTGGGTAGTTCTGTGTTTGTCAACTTCATATTGGTTGGTGCAATTTGTTTGGGTTTCTTCTTCTACTACCAGAAGAAGCTCACGGGAACTCACCAGGACAAAGCTTCAGCGGGAAGCAATTTGCGCTACTTTACCTACAAAGAGCTCATAGAAGCAACACAAGGGTTCAAGGAAGAGCTAGGGAGGGGATCATGTGGCATTGTTTACAAGGGGAAAGCTGATCATGCAGGAGGACCAGTACTTGCTGTCAAGGTGTTGGACAAAGTATTTAACGACAAGGAAAAAGAATTCAAAGCTGAAGTTAAGGTCATAGGCCAAACACATCACAACAATCTTGTCAGACTTCTAGGATATTGTGATGAGGGACAGCACAGGTTGCTGGTATATGAGTACTTGAGCAGTGGCACTTTGGCAAGCTTCCTTTTCGGGGATGATGTCAAGCCCAGTTGGCAACAAAGAAACCACATTGCATTGGGGATTGCTAGAGGGCTTGTTTACTTGCATGAAGAATGCAGCACACAGATCATCCATTGTGATATAAAGCCTCAGAATATACTTCTTGATGAATATTACAACGCTCAAATATCCGACTTTGGATTGGCAAAGCTGCTCAATCAAACCCAAGCTTCTAAAACAGCAATCAGAGGAACAAAAGGGTATGTTGCACCTGATTGGTTCAGGTCTGCACCAGTCTCTGTGAAGATTGATGTGTATAGTTTTGGCGTCTTGCTTCTAGAAATCGTTTGTTGCCAGAGAAATGTGGATGTGGAAATTGGTGGTGGAGAGAGGGGAGTTTTAACTGACTGGCATATGACCTCTATATGGAAGGCAGATTAGATGCTCTGATTGAAAATGACATGGAGGCCATATGAACAAAGTTGAGAGATTTGTGATGGTTGCCATTTGGTGCATCCAAGAAGACCCTGCAGTGAGACCTACCATGAAGAAGGTTATGCTGATGCTTGAAGGAATAGTTCAAGTTTCAGTTCCCCCAAGTCCTTTCCCATTTAGTTCCATTAGCTGAAACAAGAAGAAGAAAAAAAAAACTTTTTTTGGTTAGTCAGGTTTCAAACTTTAACAGAAACAGATGTTATGATGCTATCAAGCCTCTGTGATAGATGATTCTCTGTGGTCAATGCCACAGTGAAAATAATGTCCTACCATATTCTTCATTAATTTCTATATCATCACACCTAACTTTGGATTGGTCATGATGATGTCCCAGTTTGTCAATGAAAATTCTTACGTAAGTTTTTATTTTTTATGTTTTGTGGTGCATCATGAAACTGCGTACAGAAACATTCATATATCATTCAAAACCAAACCTGACAATGACACCATGGCCGGCTAGTTTATCAAACATCTTTGAATCTTTCTCGTCTACTCTGACATTCAGATCATTACTTTTCTTAGAAAATATTTTATGTTCCCCCAGATAGTTTCCACGAAATGTGAGCTTATTTATGTAGTGGTTAGTTTATTTAAGAGAATCGGAGGAGGTTTCTAAAAAGCTTTTCCAAAATTGAAATCGATGTCCTATAAAAATTGAAGGATCACAAAGCCTGAGTTTATGTTTGTTCTAGCTCCGAATGGTTTATGTTTGCTTCTTATTTCTCACAGGATTCAACTTTGAGCCTTGTGCCATGCATTTTTTTGTCCCTGATTGCCCTAATCTAATTCAAGATTTTAAGAATAAAATTCCAAAAACCAATTTTGATTCGTTTAGTTTGATCAAAGTGATTGTTATGCACATTTGATGGAGTGATCGTGCGTAAGAAAAACTAAAATAAAACTCTGGGTTCATGCTCAACAATAGGCCAAGGGATTCTTTGATTTAAGAAACCATGACTCATCTAACTCCTCATACATCATGGCTTTCTCCATCTGGTGATTTTGCCCTTGGATTTTGGCCACTTGAAAACAGTGATCTTTTCTTGCTTTCTATATATGGTATGCCTTGAACCACATTGGTGGTCTCTCCATTTTGAAACATCCGAATTTGATCCTCAAACTACTTTTTTTTTTTCGCCAAGTGATCCTCAAACTGCATTAGTAAGTGGGCATGTAAAATTCCCAAGGTAAAGTTTTGACAAATAATCCTATCGTATGAGGTCATATGCTAGTTCCAAACTTTTCAATGTGAGACAATATTCAATCATGACAGGCTGCTGCGCTTTTTGGACTTTTCTTCAAAGAGCTTAGAAATAATAAACTCAAATGATCTAACCTGGACATAAGTTGATGCTCAAAGGAGTTAAAGAAAATTTCAGCTTCCAAGTAATTACTGATGAGAGTCTCAAATTACATATTTTTACTATTATTTTGGAGACTTTATGATATAATTTTGGCTTAATGAATATAATTTCACTTGTTGTTACATTTTATTCTCACCAATTGGATTTATGAATTTTCTATATTAATTTGGTGAACTTATTAGGTGAATTTATCTTCTGTAGGAAGTTGGAAAGCCAAAAGATGAAGACATACATTTGTCCAAGTTCAAGCTAGGTGTGAAGAGAATTGCTGGCAGATTTAATTGAAGAATTGATTGTGGGATTATTGTGATTATAAAGAGAAGTAAAGAGGGAGAAGAGAAGACAAAACCGTTGAAGCTAAAGAGCCTATTTTATGTCAGCCATTTAACGCCCACTTACCTCACCGTTATTTCTTTTCCACTAACTCTTCACCATCAACACATGTTTAATCCAATTAATCACTCAATTAGACCCTTCATCACCTACCATGAATGTATTAACTTCCCACTCACCTCATTGACTACTATAAATCACCCATCAACTTATTTGGCAAGGACACCCCTACGACAGATTTCTTTATCCATTTAGTTTATGTTTTCTTTTGTAATGAGTTGCTAGAACTCTAGCTAAGGCTAAAGGGAATGTTCTTTGAGTAAGTTTGTGAATTGTTCTTTAATCCAATATACGGTATGAATTGCTAAATTCTTTTATTTTTGTTGTTCAATATTTTCATATCCTTTTATTTTGATTGATGTTAAGTGCTATTATCTTTTCATGAGTTCAATTATATTTTTCTCACAGACTTTCATGTACTCTGGCAGATGTTCCATGGCAAATACATCCCACCTGATGATAATCAAAATAATTGTTTGATAACCATTTCATTTTCACTTTTCAATTTTCATTTTCACTTAAAAAAAAAAAAAAAAAAAAAATTCGACATTTCTATTTTTTGTTTTGTTTTGTTTTGTTTTTACACTAACATGTTGCAGGCTTTCACTTTGGATGTCAATTCTTAGGTAACGCTACCCTCTTCTTTTTATTATGCTTATATGTTTAAACATTGAGGACAATGTCAATCTTTGGTTGGGGTTGGAGAAGATGTGTTTATTGTATTATTTTCTTGTTGCAACATGTTAGTTTTCCTTTCATTTTTGTTTTTTGGTTTTGTTTTGTTTTTGTATTTTGTTTTTGTTTATTTTTGTTTATTTTCGTCATTTATTTAAATTGTAAAAAAAATATTTAAAAAAAACTGAAAAGTGTGAAGAAAAAAAAAAATTGTTTATGAGGTTAGTGCACTGTGTTGTTTGTTTTTCACAGTCTGTCTGTGACAAGATTACATTGCACTTAGATTTATTTGATATTCATGAATGATTTTAAGATTGAGAACATATGAATTATATGATAATTATCCCACTTCTGTGTCTTTTTCATTTATTTCTAGTTAGTGGATGATTCATGAGTTATACTTTGACAATTTACACAAGCACACTAACACCTTTTGTGGGGTATAAAGTTAAAAACCAATTGTGCTTAATCTTTTGTCTTTGGTAAACTTGGACGACCTTGCTTTTGACTCATCTTGGTTTATAAAAAATATATATATATATATATATATATAAATATAAATAAATAAATAAAAAAGGTTCATGAAATAATAGTGTTCTACTCAACCCTTTTTATCATGAAAAACTTTAGTACGTTCTTTGTAAATTCATGAGTTCTCATATGCATCATTCCTGACTTCCTCAAGTTCATTCAATTGGAGTTTTCTCAAGGTACCTGCATCTCCAAGACTAAAGTTAAACAATTTGATAGCCCAATATGCTTCTAGGATTTTCATTGCTAGTAGTGGCACGCTCGCACGCTAAAGAAAGTTGACTTGTTGACCAGCCAATGGTTTTCAAGACAATGGGGAACTTTACCCTTCCATCACAGGAGCAAACACAAAACAGGTGAACAAGTTTTACGATCATTCTTCGGACATGGTATGGCCTCAATCCATTTTGAAACATAATCCACAGCAACAAGGATATATAAGTAACCAAAAGATGGAGGAAAAGGACCCATAAAATCAATGCCCCAACAGTCAAAAATTTCAATAATTAAAATTGGGTTAAGAGGCATCATATTACGTCGAGTAATTTTTCCCAACTTTTGACAACTTGGACAAGTTTTGCAAAATTCATACACATCTTTAAAAAGTCTAGGCCAATAAAAACCACATTGAAGAATTTTGGCCGAAGTCTTTTTGGAAGAAAAGTGACCTCCACAAGCCTCAGAATGACAAAAAGATATGACACTAAATATTTCATCATCAGGAACACATCTACGGATTACCTGGTCGGGACAATATTTGAAGAGATACGGGTCATCCCAAAAGAATTTTCTCACCTCAACCATAAATTTCTTTTTATCTTGTGAGGTCCAGTGAGGTGGAATAAGACCTGTAGCAAGAAAATTCAATTACCCTACATTATAAAACATTGAAATAGACTTCGCACCCACAATCCGAAAACAAAAAGACAAAGCTCCAACTGATGATTTCATCAATAGCTATTTCATAACAATTTTCAAATGTTGGAGGTGGTTGTGAACAGTTCGTACAGTAATATAGAGATAAGTGAAGTGTCATTCCCACGAAGACTGTAATTTCCTTTTAAGTACCAATTATGATTAATTCAAAAGTTTATTTGAACAATTGATTAATGAGAGTGATTGATTTATTAAACTAAATTAAAACAGATATAAAAAAAAGCAATTTAATTAACAATGAAAAATCAAGTTGATGAGACACTAGAGCATCTGATTTCATCATAACCAATTCCAGTTAATTCTTATAGCCAATTAACCCTAATTACTACTCATGTTGATAGGTGGTTTCTCCTAATTCATTTGATATCCCCTTCTAGGGCTCAACCAAAAGTTTTCTTAATTAACAACTCATCTCTCTCGAGCAACGAATTTAGAAAATCAAGAACCCATTAAGTTCTATGAGAACCTGCAAGAAAACTGCATGAGTCATGTTAGTCCTTCTCGGGCACTCAATCAAGACATGGTATTTGTTACAAGAAGCGAACACCAAACATCTCCTCTCGATCTCCGTTTGGATCATCAATTAAATATTAGTTAGATATTTGAAGCATTAAGAAGAGTAACAAATACTCAACATGAAATAGTAATCAGAAATTAATATAACTATAAAAATTAAGTATTCATGATTAGGCTAAATCATAGCCCTAGTAAGACAAATTAGTTCATAACAAAAGAAAAGATAAACAAGAGAATTGTTGTCATAAAACCGATTTGGCAGATGAATTGGATCATTGTATTCTCCACAGCAACACCTTTGTAAGCTCCAAAAGTACCGCGGCAGCAAACTCTTGGCTCTCTCTGTGATATATTTGTGGGTGTAGTGAAATATGGTAAAAAGTATATGGTAGAAAAAGATGGTCCATAGAGAGAGCTTAGGGTGACCAATATAGTGTAAAACAACTAAAACCTACTCTAAAAAGGTCTGGAAAAGCTCTCCTAAAGCATAACAAAATCTCAAACAATTAAACTAGAAAAGAATCCTTCTTTGACTTGGAAACATGTCAGTCAAATTGCACGCACATTTTGGGGTCCTTACGCTTCCTAGAAAATTATGGCAAAATATGATAAATGTAGCTTGATCTCTAAGATTTCCAAGCATATGTCACACGCTACTAGGAAAAATCGGAAAAAGCTTCAAACCTTCAATCTTCCACTGCAGTGCAGTTCTGATGGGATTTCAACTTAGGCTCTCTTGACTTACAAGTTTGGAGAATTTGGCTTAGTAGAAAATTATGAAACTTTGATACAATGATCTTCAATTTCTTAGCTTTCTTCTCCAATTGGTCTTGCGCTAAAATTCATTTGAAAAGTCAATTTTCGGTCGAAATCCTTCCAAGGGCGTATAATAGCTAGGGGTGGGCATCTTAAACCGAAATACCGAAACCGTACCCTAACCACACCGTACCATACCGATTTCATACCGTTTCATTTGGTATGGGGAGATATTCCGTACCGTACCAATATAATATGGTATGGTAGCGGTATCAAGATTTTGGTACCGGTCAATACCGTACCGTACC